AAGTGGGAGATTTGGCGGCGTAGTGCTCAGTACTTGTGGTCAGTCCACTTAATTCTATTAGTAAAGAGCAGAAACAAAGGTATGTTAGTGTCGCCAAAATTTACCTCCATGATTTACCTACCTCCTAAAATGTACACGAATGAATTTCAGTGCAATCTTGTTCATAACATTTTATACACAAATTACACATTTTAGGAATTCTACTAATAGGCATGATATTGTTGTTTACTATGAAAGTTCGTTTTCAATCTGGAACTCATTCCAACACTTATAGTGAGAGTATAAAGCCTTTACCCATATCTGATTATTATCAAAAAATCACTCTTTGAATGTAAATTAAAGCTTTGATGGGATCCTTTAATCCGTTACTCACAACAATTGTGAATGTAAAGAGAACTGAGTACTTGACCTACCCCCCCCCCCCCAAAATAACTGCATGTCCAATTACAACAGAAAGTGGGAAAACTTTACCCCTTAGGTGTAGTTATTTTATTTATTAAAATGCATTCTGAATGAATCTGTACACTTATAATTTCACATTACGTTAGGTTTTTAACATTTCTACATTTTGTCAGATTGTTGTAAATAGTTTTTTGAAACTTACAACTCCTGAATAAATATATAAAATATAAAAAAAAATTATCTCCAAAAAATGTGTGATAAATATTTGTTACATATATATTGAACATTTTTTGCTCACATAATTTGTATAATGTCGTAACCAGGGTCCTCTCAGCCAGGGTGGGGAAGAATACTTGTCATACAAAGATGGTAGTTGAGATTACACATTTTTTTTATCTCTATTTGGAGGTACATTTTTATTTTTATCAATGGGCAGAGTTATATCTACCAGAGTGCAATTTTTATGTTCTTATCTTTGATGGCAAAATTGAATTTTTTGTTTTGATCATGTAACAGAGTACATGTATATAGTCAGTCAGTTCACTTTGCACAATCACCAATAATCACAACAAACAAAGAATACTGCGAGTTTGTCAACTATATTTTCATAAGTACAGGTATGGAGATGATGCATTAATCATAAAATCTACTATTGTTGACACACCATTAGAGCTTCAAAAGTTGGCAGGGCATTTCAAATATTTTCTTGGACATCCAGAGCATATTATTAAAAAAGAAGTGTTAGATATTTTTGGTAGTGATGGGTGGCAAAAGAAGAACATATTTATAGTTATAGATGAAGCACATTGCATTGTTAAGTGGGGACCAGATTTCCGCCCAGCCTTCCAAGAATTATGTCGTTTAAAGTCAGTCTTCCCCAAGGCAGTACAATTAGCCATTACAGCCACTGCTACAATAGATCTACAACAAACTGAGCTTTCCAGAGCCCCAAACATGAAAAATGCTATGGTCATCACATCACCTGTGGACAGACCAAATATAAAATTAGCAGTCAGGACAAGACTACCTTCAACTGGGTAAACCATGGTCAATGAAAGTTTTGAAGCTATATTCATGCCATTAATTGAAGAACTGAAAGAAAACAAAGTATATTT